AAACTTATTTAAAGTGTTAAAAAGTAAATCTATCTTCTTATTTCTTAAATAGAAGTTTTAAACTAAGCTTAAAGCTCTATTAATAATAATTATACTTAAAGTATAACTTTTATATCCTTCTTTATAGTTATAAAAATCTAAAGTAATTCTCTTATTTAGAAGGGCTTATATAACTACTTCTCTTAGTATATATTACACTTAGTAATATAACTTCCTTTACCTATATATATTATAGTTAATAGTTAAGATTCTTAAATACCTATTTAATATTTAGACCCCTCTTATAAAGTTAGATAGATACTAGAAGGCTTTTAGCCTTAAGTATCTAAGCCTCTAATACTAAAGCTTTACTAATCTCTTAATAAGTTTATAATATATTAAGGTTATATAGCTATATTTTCTTCTTAGTTTTAAAGCTTTATCTTATATAAAGGCTAATAAAAGTATAATTATAATAAGAGCTACTTTATTAAGTAGTCTATAATTAAGAATATATTAGTTATTAATATTCTTAAATAAGTATAAGAATATATAGTCTAACTTCTATAGATAGTTATTATTAAAACTTATATCTTATTATATCCCTCTTTAGTATAACTTTTATAGAGATACTAAATTACTAATAAGTTTAAGATATAAAGCTATATTAAATAGTTATAGTTTTATTATACTATTTATACTTTTCACTAAGATTTTAGCTATACTATATACCTTAATAGAGACTTTATATATTTTAGCTTATAAGAAGTTTCCTACTAAAACGCCTTATAAAGTAGTAAACTATCTTATATAATTAAATATATATATTATAAAGCTTAAGTTTAATATTATAAATCTTATAAGAGAGTATTCTCCTAATATTATAAATACTACTTTAATATACTTTTTAGCTCTCTTATAGAGTTATACTAACTCTAAAGTATACTTTATTACCTTATAGATATACTTTATAAAAGCTTTATTATTCTCTATTCTTCTATTAAAGATATATTAAATAACTATTTAAAATACTTATACTTTTAGTTAAATTATAGCGTTAATATAAAAGTATTTAGAGAGAGTATATATATTATAATATAGTTTATAGTGTGGTTTCTCTATACTTTAAGCATCTAAAAGAGATTCTTCTTACTTTTAGTAAGTTCTTATTACTACTAAGAGTTATTTTAAGTTTTATCCTCTTTAGAAGCTTCTTCTATAGTTTATTCTATAGTTAGTTATTTTATTAAGTTACTTAGATTTATTTAGTTAAAGTTCTCTATCTTAAACTATAAAGCTAAATATACCTCTATTTACTTTAAACTTCTATAGAGTAGTTTTAAAGTATATAAGATATATTTAAGCATTAGAGATAACTTTACTAACTATAAAGTTTTATTAAGTTATTAAGAGAAGCTTAGTTATATAATAAATAGATATCTATATATTAAGGTAGCTCTAAGTAAGTATATTAATATATTTAGGAAACTAAATTAAAGAGTCTAAGTTATTTAGAACTTTATAGCTTTACCCCTTATAAATTATATTTTCTTATTAAGAGATCTATACCTCTATATTCTTCTTTATTAAGAGGAACTTTTAATTAAGAGCTATAATTATTATTATATATTTAGAGATTACTTAAGTCTTTTATTCTCCCTTACTATAGTTAATATAAATCTTTAGTTTATAAAGCTACTTATTAATACTTATATTAATAGTATAGTAATACTATAGAAGCTCTATAGATACTATCTCCTTTATAAACTACTAAACCTCTTATATACCTTTTATTACACTATTCTACTCCTTTTTAAAGAAACTATAGTTTACTCTAAACTTATTATAGAGAGTATAATTCGCTTAAGAGAGATCTATAAGTCCTATTACTTAAGGAGTCTCTATATTATTCTTATAGAGAACTATTATAATTATATTTCTTTATATTAAGTAGTTAGAGATATAAAAGAGTCTTAGAAGCGCTATAAGCTTCTAAAAAGCAGACTTATAAGCCTAAATAGCGCTTTTAGAGAACCTCTTAAAGTCTATAGTATACTATAACTAATAGGAGTAATAGAAAGCTTAAACTTAGTTAATCTAAAAAACCTAATTTCTTATACTTTTTAGAGGGATCTTTTTACTATTTAGAGATATTATTATATACTTATAAGCTATTCTTTAGTACTATAAATAGCTTATTAATATATTAGTTAATATAAATCAGACTGTTAATTAATAAATTAACTTAGATATATATTAACTATATATCCTTAGGTATAAGCAAAAACTCTATGTATAGTTTTCGCAGGGCCTATTACTCTTATTAGGCAGATTATCTATTTATTTAAGCTACCCCCTAGTAGCTAAGAAGCGCTATTTTAACCCCTATAATTTAATATCCCCACTCTAACTAACAGAACACCTCTATATATAGGATAGCGAAAATTATATATTTATACCTACACTATAATAATTATATTTTAATATATTAGTAAATATCTTAATTAATCTATAATATAAATATATAATTTTATACTCTCCTTATTATTAAAAGATTTACTTTTAGATAATACTACTTCTAGCTTATTAGGATTATTCTAAACCTCCTATTTTTTCTTAATAATCTAGTTAATTATTATAAAACGCTTATTTATATCTAGTTTAACTTTAGTATATTTCTAAAGCTATAATAATACTACTTAAGCTTATAATACTTTAATTATTTATTAATTATTAATACTAACTATATTATTAATATTAAGATATTTACTTATTTTTAATATAAATAGCTAATAAACTACTAAATTAACTTATTTTAGCTTTAATTTTAACTTATTATAAAATAACTATTTATATTACTATAAATTAATAGAAAATTTTAGTATTTTAAATATAACTCTTTTTAATATTAATATAATATTTTAATTATTTATAACCTTCTCTTTCTATAGGAGGGCTTTTAAAATATCTATAGAAGCTAGTTTATATATAAACTTACTTATTAGTAGTTTTATAATATTAATAAACTATAATCTAATTACTACTTACTTTATTTTAATAATATAAGGTTATATAGTTTTAGATCTTATATATAAATAATATTATAAGAAGTTCTACTTACTAATTAGTATTAAATTTAGTAAAAAGTTCTATTCTACTAGCTAATACTTATATATTACTTTTAGAAGTAAGAAAACTAATATATTAAGTAGCTATATAATATAAAATAAATATATAGATAAGTATACTAAATAAATATTATTAATATAATATTACTATATAAAATTATTAGATATATAGTTTCTATAGCTATTAATAATAAAAAGATGCTTTAAATATAACCTCTTTACTTCTATAATAATACCTAAGATAAATACTTTATTTAACTACTTAAAACTAATAATATTTAAAGTTTAGTTATTAACTAATAATATAAATTATTATTACTTAAATTTAAAAAGATTATTAGAAAACTATTACTACTATATAGTCTTCTTTTTAAAGATAATAAAAAGGGGTAGTAATATATTAATAGTAAAAATATACTTAATAATTAATATCTAAGTATAGTTTTTATTACTCTAAATAAAAATTAAAAACTTCTTAGTATATCTTATTACTAAATAATCCTTTTAAGTACTTTTAGTAATACCTATTTTATCTATATTCTATTAAAAGTTTATAGAGATTATCTTAATATCTAAAAGTTAAAATATCTTAAAGAACTACTTTATAATATCTTCTATAATACCTTTTACCCTCTTTATATCTATTTTTTTAGCTCTTATTATTTTATAAAATAAATTATAATATAAAAATCCCTCTATTTACTTCTTATTAAGAAGTTAAGTATTACTACTAATATAAAATATATATATTATAAAGATATAGATATAATAGTAATTTAATATAAAGCTTATTATAGTTTATATTAATACCTAGCTAGCTAGATAAACCTCTTACTTTAGTAAGAAGTATTACTTAAATACTTATACTTTATTTTTAGTATAACTACTATTTATCTTATAATAAATAGTTAAAAATAGCACTCCCTATAGCTTTAAAGCTTATTAAAAAGATTTACTACTATATATAGCTATAATAACTAAGATAATATAACTCTTATTATATATAGCTATACTAAGTATAATAGTATGTTTTAAAATATTTAATTTAATAGTAGTAGTATAAAAACGTATTAATAAAGTTATAGATATAAGAGGTAAGTCATAAATAAACGCAGTTTTAGCGCTATCCTATATGTAGGGGTATTCCATTAGTTGGGGTGGGGACTTAGAGTGGCTTTCACGTCCAACCATTGGCACGTCCCAGTCAACCATCAACGCGAGAGAATCAGCTAAAGACATTCCCTCCTCGTTCCACTCGATCGGATGACTGAATAGTTCTTCTTCTACAATTGCCCCATCCAAAACCAACGGACCTAGTCGGGCAGTGGTCAGACTGTCGGCACTCAATGAAACTTGACATTCGGCTCGTTGGCTGAAACCGGACTGAGTCGAGAACATCTTGGAAGCCAAGCTCATGAGCGATGACAACAGCAAAATGAATTCGCTGAAGGGCTCGTTGTCCCATGTCTCATTCAAAAGTCCCTGTGTTATCTCCGACAGGAGAAGATATGTCTCAACGTCATTATGTGCAAGCATGAATGCGTAGAGGGTGAAGTATGGGTTCATCGGATAGAACAGTAGTTTCCTCGCCATTGTTAGCCTGTAGCAGAAATGAAAAGTGAGGAGACGCCAGAAGTTAATTACCATGAGATGGACAGTCTGATGGCGTAGCCGTCTGGTCCCGTCGATAGGTATGATAAAGCGGAAAGGAAATATCTCAGGGAGTCCCGAGCATGAGCCAGTACTTCATTTTGCCTAAGTGGGTCCGTCGAGGCCGACAAATTGAGTTGCAGAACTGAGACCATAATTGAAGACGCAGCGTACGACGTTGCTGCAGCCTCGCCAGGCCAGAACGGATCAGTTTCGCAAGCGGAACGAAACTACAAATTGAAATTAGCGAGATGCCTTATCATTGGCAAGACTTGAAATCTTGACCTTTTCCAAATCACCCCTAAGCCCATGCACCGTGCGCTCCAAGTTTTCAACTTGCTCCGAGTAGCCATTACTATTCTTTGGATGCCGGAGAGCACGAACAACCGCATCCTGAACTTCAGCCATGCCAGAGAACAGGTTGTAGAGGCCTTGAACGGGACCTATGAAATCCTGCGGAACAGTTGTTTTCGGAATACGCCCCGGACCAAGCGATGGTGCTCGATCCATGATCTGGGATAAGGTTTTGTCAAGAATATGGCACAGCTCGACGGCATGCTGTGTGTCTGATTGGCCTGCACGAATTGCTTCTGAAACCCTCACGGAGGAATCGCGGCGTGGGAGAGTTTCATACACTCGACAGGCTGCCGCGTTAAAAGTCCATGCTCTCTCGAAGCACCCGACGTTGAAAGCGAACATCGCCTAATGCCGAAACGCCCAGTCAACATTTGTTTTCTCCATGATAGTATGAAAAGGCTTACCCCTGATAAGAGGGCCTGGAAGAGGGCATTGGTTGGCAAGTCGGCCACACTCATACGCTGGAGACCATAGATGATGTTCTGTTCGTAGAACCTTTTGCTCGATTTCAGGTGCGTATGAATATCGTCACTGGTAGTCTCAGCCATCTTGATGCCAATGAAGCACCACGCTGCGTAGTTGACCGAGACTATATAGTGGTTTCGGAAAGGTTCTTTGGCTTTTCCATTGCGGAGCGCTAGCCACTGAGCCTCCAAAGTTGAAAGAGAAATCACAGACTGCAAATCTGCTATGTATTTCGAGCCGATGTTCTGTGGCCTCCCTAACATCCATCAATGTTAGCTGATCAAGCAACCATATCTTGCCATCAGAAGAATATTCCGCACAAGTTAAAATGCTGTCAATAAGCTCGACACTCGGATACGGCCTGCTCCTCGCGAAATCAGGTTCCGGAGCATGCCTGCTTGTCGGTGTCGTCCCCGTCGCTGTTTTAACCTGCTTCAACACCGTTTCCATAATATGACGCCCAGGAAAATCGTTGTCCTGAAACCAGACTTCCATCGAGAATGCGAGGAGTCTTTCAGCTTGCGAGTACAAGAACTTCGTCTCGCTGACTCCGGAAGATGATTGATTTGACGTGGTGTCTGTCTCCTGCAGTTGTACTGTTGTACCAGCAGCAGTCCCTTGTGACTCAGTTGGCGACGTCTGACGTCGAGAATTGGCAATTCCAGATACACCCAACTCTCGAGGCGCTGAGGTCTGCTCATTGATGGCGGAAAGGGGCTGTGAGTCAAGCAGAGCTCCTTCAACAGAGCCTTGCTGACGATCTGAGTTGGGTTGAAGCAAGCCATTGTCTGATATTGCTCGTATCCGACGCGACTGTTTTGGACGTCTACGAAGGCACATTATGCCAGCGGCCATGCACTGGCGACATACTTCTTGACGATCACATTTGATCTGTCCTCGGACGGTAAGATTGGCTGCAGAAATTCATTCACAAGCACATTCAGGGATGAGTTACCTTTCTCGAATGACACGAATCACACTTTCAATGTGTTAGCAACGATAACAACGAAGAATACACTACCCATACCGCGCGATTAGGGCGTTCGTACGGGCTACTGTACGCTGCGAAGCGCGCCATTCTGCCACTATAGGTCAAGCAATAGCTTTTCCGAAGGTCTGAAAACTGCTGTTTAATGAATATGGTCAATGCCGTACGACTCTGTGGAATCCTCGCGCGAAAGATTTGACAAGTACCATCCAATGCCGATGTGTTCCGGAGTCGACGGACATTTTCCTCACCGTTAACCCCGTATCCCACCGGCACGGCGTTCGGCACACCCGAGCCAAAGCAACCGAAGCATCTGATCATCGAACCAGCTAACACTCCTTGTTCGGTACGCATAAGTTGCGATTTGATTGCATATTCGGAGATTGTTGTGCTACCGAACCTGCACTGTTAGCACAGGACCCTACCCCTATGTCCCAAAAAAAGCCCTTCAGCGGGCGTTCATGCCAGTGATCGTACACTTTGTGGATTGTAAAAAATATCCTCCGGCTCCCACCTTGACTTTATCGACTCCAACACGGTTAAATGGAAACCCCAGTAAGATTGCTGGCCTTCCACCAAGCCAGGATCAACATAGTCTGGGTACGTAGGTGGGGTCGTACCTAGAAGCCCCTAAATCGTCGCAACAAGCCCGCCCGTGAACTCTCTAGTCTTCTTGAACAAAACAAGAACGCCAATAGCATAGCCCCGGCAGGACATGATCTTGTCTCTGTGGGATCATGTTGTAGCATTTCTTGCAATGTCATTGGTCTTGCTGCCCGCAGGACCAAAGATAAGGAGCCATGCCAATGCTCCACGATCCGTGTTGTTTAGCGGCCTGAATGCTGGCAGCCCAAACCTCGATTTTGCTCTCACTATGCATATTAAGAGAGTATTAGCGTGTATAGTATAGGATACGATGCAGCACAAGTACTTGGGGAGATCTCGTTAGCATGTGCCTTTGGACATATGCACTCTGAGCAACGCTCATAAGACGACGCAGTAATTCGGGCGATATGGAGGTCATTGTAGATGCATCAGCTACATTTGAGCCACTAAGCTTGGTCTACATGTACCCACATGACTGCAATCACGTGGATTGTGACTTATTATGACACCTAGACAAAACCCGGTCTTACAAGTATGCATGTCGTATAATTAGATGCCAAGGTGTAGAAACTTGTATCATATATGAGAGTGCAGTCTGAGACTGATTAAGGTTTCAATATCCGTACTTCCTCGCGAGATGAGTCCTTCTCAATTGTCTACTTCCCAGCGGTTCCGAGCAGCATGGGTGCAAGGAACCTCCACCGGAGCTTTAGAATAAATACTCAGCTTTTGCACGGCAACCTCTACTGATGGAATCCTAGTCACCACGCAATCAATTCTCGCCTTCCATCTCAGCAAAGTAAGTGTGCATTCCAACAGACCTCAAGCAAATTCGGACAGCATATTAATGTGGACATGGCCTGTCGACTCGTTTCGCCATCTCAACCCCAATAACGCCCAGCCAACATGCAGTTTTCTTACCCCGCCGTGTTAATCGCGACCCTGCTCTCTGGCCAAACCTTCGCGAGTTGTGCCCAGGGCTCTTTCAGCGGCAAGCCGAACGATTACGACATAATTGAATACTGCACCCTCAAGCCGAATAACTTCTATGATTGTAGCAACGGAGCTTCCGTCACTCACAACGCGGATCGCTTTCAGCGCTGCCGCAAGTGCAAATATTTACCAACCCTTCCGAGCAAATCTAACCAAAGGGAGGCCATCGCCACGCCCAATTAAGCAAGTTCATACCCCTCGATTGACTCGAATACCTTGATTGATTCACCTATTTATAGATTAGCCTATAGGAGGCTAAAGATCCGTCCTAGCCCCACTTATCTAGTTATGCTGGCTACATGTATGAGGGTATTTGCGAGGGGCCCTTAGGAAGGGGGGGGGGGGGGGGGGGGGGGGGGGGGGTTAGGTTCTAAGGGCTCTAAGGGCTACGAGGGCTGCGAGGGCTGCGAGGGCTGTGAGGGCTGTGAGGGCTGTGAGGGCTGTGAAGCTATAGATAACTTCAAAATTACCCGATTAGGAAGTTAGAATGACGTAGTTTTATACTATGATTGAATTATTTTAATTGCAATTACACCAATTAATCAAACCCTTATAACAAATTCTCATCAACAGCAAATTTAGGGGTCCAATTTGCTTTGATTGCACTTGCGGCAGCGCTGATCGCTTTACGCTCCAGGCTGGGTCGGCCGACGCCATGGTCATGGTCGCCTGTGGCGGGTACGGCAGTGTCTACCACTGCTCCGCAGGCGAATCCGCGGTCATCTCACAGCCTCTGTGTGCAGGTGGTATGACGAATGTGCGCGCCTTGAAACAACGATAACGGGTTGGTGATTGGACGGGAACAGAGGATCTTCGGTGGCGTGTGGTCAACTGCAGATATTTGACTCTTCAACTAGCTTGCAATATTTACAAGAGCATTTAGCGGCGCATCGAAGGAGCATAGCCTTTGAGCTTGGGATCAGGGCTGAATCGGTTCAAACATAAATTGTCACTTATCTAAGGTACGATTATTGACGTGTTGTTCCTGAGATATGCACCTTTGCAGATGGTGGTGACACAAACTTGGGTATGCAGATTATGTGAGGGCATGTGACGGTTGTTGTTGCTTCTTTGCATCCAAGACCTCGCAGGCGCCTTTGCTACTCTCTTAACATGCGTAAAGCGCGACACCTCAAATTCAGACTGTGGTTGTTGAATGAGAAGAAGGGCAGAAATAAATATCATGCTTTTCGGGCTACGCATTGATGACTTAGCAACCGGAACACTCCGTTGATGATGCCGAATTCAATTTCTAGAATCATCTTTTGCTGTGTTGAGAACAGTATTTGAGACGAGGACATCGCTGTATTGAAAAGGGGTTAGCACAGCTTCTCGGAGGGGCCGGTGGACAGCCGGCGCGTCGATTATCCCCGATGAAACGACCCCCATATGAAATAAATGAAGAGGAAAGACCAAGCAACGATCCGAACTTAGATTTGAGTTCGCCTAGGATCTCAACGTAGCAATGCATGAGATTTAAGATGATGATAAACTCAAAATCCCCTGAAGAAGCTGGAGAATCCCCTCATCGCCCCCTCAATTGAAACAGCGAAACAACAAAATTCTCTTTTTTACCTTTGACATCTCAGTATTTGAACCATGGCCGCCCTTTTTCACGCGTCCCTTGCAATTTTGGTCGGTGCTGCTGCCTGTGCCTCTGCCATACGTTCACACTTGCTGTGTCGTTGAGTCTGTCTTTTCCGAAAATGCATTCCCTCTTTATCCTCGCCGTCCTGGCGTTGATACAAGCAGTCTACCCGCACCATTCGCCACGGCATCAGCACAGGCGGCAAGCATCGATCTTGGCGCCCGAAAATACCACGGACTCCTCAAACCTGGGAAGAGGACGGGCAGTCAACGTTTTTCAGCCCATTTCTAACGATCGGCCCATCTTGGTCCCAACTAGAGACGATCACCCCCAAAAGCCCGTGGGCGTGCGCCATGACGGACCAATTCAGACCAACAAATTCTACGCCAACTTCTTTGCCAACAACCAGGACAACGCTACATGGACACATCCGTACTCAGTATGGTGGTCGAATGATACGATCAAGCAGGGTCATGGCCTTTCAATCTCTCATACGAGCCGGGAGGACTTCATCTACGGGTCCGGAGACCCGGCCAAATCCTTCGAGGACCCTTTGTTCAAAAAGTCTATCGCTCTATCGGCACGAGAGCTGCAGAATGGAACTGTCTTGACAACTGACTCTCTGACCTCTTTTGCGGTCAATGTGAACTTAGCACCGAGGAAAGGAGCCGAGCCTATTGTCTCGTTTCCCCTGGTCCAAGGAATGGCGTTCGTGACGGGAGTTTACCACGGAGCCACCGTCCTGATCCAGTCACAAAGGGGTTTCTTAGACCTCACCAGATTGGAAGACGATTCGCGTGGGCTTGGAGCACCCGGTTGGAGGACTTGGGTGAGCGAAAATGGGCAGCCCGTTGAGTGGCTGATCTACGTCAACCCAAGTCGCGGCTCCCAGACGCCTAAACTTACCATGGCCAACAACGGAACTATCGTGGGACCTGGTAACTTCATAGGAAGTGTGCAAGTCGCGCGGAACCCCAAAGGCAAAACCGGCGCTCGTATTTTCGGCCAAGCTGCGGGAGTCTACCCTATCGGAGGAGAAATGAAAGGATCGGTATCAGGCAGAACGGGATCGTATACATTTTCCTGGAAGAAGGGCGGCGACAAGACCATTCCTCTGCTCATGTTTGCTCTGCCGCACCATGTCAAATCATTCGACAGCAAAACCGCCAGAGGCCTCACTGACCTCCAGCTTGCGAGTACGACAAAGGGCATTGCAACTGCGACTTTTGGAGACTCTTTCACCATGGTAGAGCCCGATCTTCCGACAGACATGGGATTCGATCCTTGGTCGCCGCGTCTGGGCTCGGTCGGATCTAAGGAAGCCAGGGGCGGCACAGTATCTATCGAGGCCAAGGACGCGATAGTTGCCGCTGGGAAGCTGGAGCTTGAGTTGGATGCCATTGCCATCACCAATCTGACTTCCAAATATTACGCCGGCATCGCTTTCTCGAAATACGCAAGGGCTCTCTATGCCGTCAACAGCATTGCCGGAGACAGGTCGTACACGAAGGAGGCACTGGTCAAGCTCGAGGCAGCCTTTGACAGATACGTCAACAACCTCGAGCCAAATCCTCTTTACTACGACAACGTCTGGAAAGGCCTGGTCTCTTCCGGGTCATACGGAAACAATGACTCCTCAATCGACTTCGGAAACACCTACTACAACGACCACAATTTCCATTATGGATACTACGTCTACACGGCTGCGATCATAGGGCACCTCAACCCATCATGGCTCAAGAAGAACGACTCTGTCAACAAGATTTGGGTCAACAACTTGATCCGAGACTGGTCTAACCCCTCGTCGGAAGACCCGTATTTCCCATTCTCGCGCTCCTTCGACTGGTTTCACGGACACAGTTGGGCTCGCGGCGTTCTCGAAGCCCCGGATGGCAAGGATCAAGAGTCCTCGGCAGAAGATGCCTTTTCAACCTACGCCATCAAGATGTGGGGACGCACCATTGGCGACGCGGCTCTCGAGGCACGTGGGAACCTCCAGCTGGCTGTCACAGCTCGCAGCTTGCAGTCCTACTTCCTGCTGGCCAGCGACAACAAGGTTCAGCCGGAGAAGTTCATCGACAACCGAGTCACGGGAATCTTGTGGGATCGAAAGGTCAACCACACAACCTACTTCGGCGACAAGACCAGCTTCATCCAGGGTATCCACATGCTCCCAATCGTGCCGAGCAGCGCATACGTTCGCAAGCCGTCTTTTGTGCGTGAAGAGTGGGATCAGTACTTTGCAGGAAACAAGAGCGGCGCGCTTTCTGGTGATGGATTCGTCGGCCACGTCTACGTTAATCTTGCCATTGCTGATAAGGCTGGTGCGGTTGAGAGCTACAACTTCATGAAGAGTCAGTCGGTAAATAGCACTGACTTGGATGGACAGAGCTTAGCTTGGCATCTTGCATACACAGCAGCATTGGGTGGGAGCTTAGGCTCGAGGTCGCCACTCAACTCGACAGTAGATCAAGTGGACCAATAAACCAACACAACCTTGACTTGAACTAGCGTCATGAAGTCATCTCACGCCAGTGCACCCGTGCTTGATGGAGAATAATATTGAAATGAAAATGGTATTACTATTATGATTAAGATTAATTTTTTAATGTTCAATGGCAGTCAAGTATTCCGCCTGAGTGGAGGACTTCCACAATGTGGAGTCGAGTACAAAAGAAATTAAGCAAGACATGTTATCATAAATCCTTAGACGCTTCCCGAGTCCAAACATCTGGCTCCATCGTTCCTGCTCGTAGACGGCACGCTCGTTTGTTGAACCGGAGGAGATGATCCGTCGACGTCGATTCTCCAGACCTGTCCGGAGTTGTTCTCAACGGCGTAGAGGTATCCGTCAGTCGTAGCGTAGGTAGCACCCCAGAATGGTGCGGTTCCGGACGTGACTCCGGTCAAAGCGCCCAGGCTCTGTCCGATGGTCCAGTCCTTGGTGGTGCGGCTCCATCTCATGAGGACGCAGTTGAAGTTCTTGACACCAATTGTCCAAAGATCTCCACCTCCGCTTCCAGGGACAACACTCCAGTCTCCTACGGTGTACCCATCGGCTCCGCCGTCAACCAGTCCTGACCCGACCAGTCTTCCATACGTGGCCGAACCAGGCAAGAAGTCGTACTGGTACCAGTCGATTCCACTGGTTGAAATCCAGAACTGACCGTTTTGATCGATATCTCCGGCGTTGAAGGGAGACTGGTACAGCTTAGATGCCTGAGTAAATGTAGTCACCGTTGTCGTGTTGCCGTTGCCAAGAATACGGATGAGGCGGTAGTCGCTCGTTCCGGAGTTGGGCTGAGAGATGGCGTACATGTAATCCTCTCGAGAGTTGTAACCAAGGGCGTTGATGTTGCGAGTGTTATCGCCGCCGAGGTTGCTCGTGACTACTGTCTGAGCACCATTGGCAAGGTTGATAGAGTACAAGGTCACACTACTGGAGCTTTGGACCAAGTATCCAGTTGTGGGGCAAGAGAATGCGGCTCCCGCGGTGGCTGATGCTACCGAGCGACTGGTTGATGAGGTAGACGTAGATCTGATGCTGGAGCTGCTGCTGCTACTGCCTGCGGCTCTACTTGATGAAGACACAGCGGCAGCGGAGCTTGAAAGAGACGATGACACAGCTCTTGCAGATAGTGCTGAAGAGGATGATGACGCCACCGCTGCTGCTGCAGACGAAGTTGCTGCCGCCGCCGCCGCGGAGCTTGTTGACGATCTTGAAGATGAAGCGACAGCTGCGGCTGAGGAGGAGGCGGCCGCGGCTGCTGAAGAGGAAGCTACCAATGACTGACCCAATGCAGCGGCAGACGAGGAAGAAGAAGTGACAGCTCTGGTTACCAGGGTTGATAGACTGCTGGATGAAGCGGCTGCGGCTGCTGTTGAGCTGGCCACTAGGCTTTGGCCAAGGACAGGTGTGCTTGATGCTGCCACTGCAGTTGCCGATGTAGGCGTTTGGACATACACAGTGCCCGGCACGGTTCCTGATGGCTGAACGATGGAGACTGTCGTGGAGCCAGTTGGCGTAGCTGTGCCACTGTACGGACCGACGACCGTTACGAAGAGAGCCGGAAGACCCACGACGACGGTGCCAGGCGCCGTACCTGCTGGTGCAATTGTTGTGATTGTTGTTGAGGCAGCGTTAGCTGCAGTGAGGAAGAGGGTTGAAGTGACGTAAGAGGCCTGCTGTGCCG